TACAGAGACAATTCTTGAATATTTCATATGCAGGTTTTAAGAACACAGCCGAACAAGATTTTTTTTTTTTTCACATTTCAAAAGGGTATTTTTAAGAATAACAAGGTCCTTAACCTAATCAATCACTTCAGGCATAAAAAAGTCTTTGGAAGGTCTGAACCAAGTCTAAAAGCTGTCACTTCTGTTCTCCTTTGAAAAAGATGGTTTCATAGGACTTTTTCTCTTAGCAGTGATAATGACAACTTTGTAATGAAAATGACAATTCCTTCAGGTCCTAACTATATCTGACACAGAAAATGATCTTGAGAAGAAGTTATTACAGACAGAAAGTGCTTATTCTCCAGTGCTCATTCTTTTGGCCATATGTAGGCAATGCTGCATCATTGTAAGAAGGAGTACATCTGAGTTTCATTTCTCTTGACTGCTGTTAATAGTCCCATGGCCTTTACTGAAGGCTTGGGGCTTGGACTTAGAGCCATTCTCTCTCAATGGAGGGAACAACAATTTCTCCCACTTTATCATGTGAAAGTGATGGATTTCACCATGSTACCTGAGGCAGAACTAGGAACAGAATCTGTATCTACTGTAAAAAAGATGGCCCCCACTGATTAATGCAAATACGAAATTTGCCTTCCAAATATATTGTATGTGCTTGGCTGGACTTCCAGGCAGTTGCACAGGACTGCCTCACCTCCTTGCTCATTTTGCAATACTGCCTCTGTAATTGTTTTAATTTCATCTGTCGCCATTAGTAAATGCGTTCTCAGTTGAGCATGTTCTTCTGAATAAATTAACCACAATCCCAACAAAGGGTTCTTTTGATGAAAAAGAGCCAACTGAGCTTGCTTTCCTCCTAATCTGCTATAACCACTCRTTTAAAAATTAAAACCACCACAGAACCCCTGAAATCAGCTGTACACACACATTCTTTACATAAGGCATCTTTTTTTTTTGCCATAACAGGAATGTTTTCACCCTGGAGACAGAATTTTTTTTTGCTTTTGCAGGATAGTTTGCTGTCAGACTGTGAGCCTTTSCCCCTCAGAGAAAGCATCCACCTGAATAAACCTGGATTTGAAGCATGAAATATATGGTGGAAATCAGAAATCACTCCTAGAGTAATGGACAGATAAAGGTTTCACAAATAGAAAACCTCTCTTCATGCTCCTCAGGGTTCTTCCAGAACATTTCCTGTTATGCTTTACCGGTTTATTTCAGCCACAGGAAATGTAGAACCTGCCCTGCTCAAAAGAAGCTGCAGATCTAAGGGAAGCAAAAAGATCCCAAACCACTATTTCCACCTTAAGTAATCTGGCAGTTCAGCTTTCTAGTCCCAAAGGGATTATTAGAAGTAAAGTTATATAAAATTAAAGAAAAGAAATGTCCTA